TAACCATCCAGTGCCCTTTTTGGTGATGGGGTCAGATACTGCTGTTCTACAGAAAGAGAAGGACAGAAGGAAAGGCAGCATCTTACTTGCTAACATAGTTACCACAGTTGTTCTAGCTGCTTATTCAGAGCTTACCGCATCCTTTGGGGCTGCGAGTTAGGGGGCAGATGCTCTGCATAAATAATCTGGGAAGATTTCCAAATTCATCATGAAAAGTGAGATGTGCAACACTGGCTGTGCTGAGTCCTTGTTGTGCAGTAAGGAGGACAAGGATAAAAAATTTGGCACATGACGATAGTTTGATTTGAAAATACCTGCCTGAGTCAGTTCAACGCTGGTTAGAAGCTTGACAGATGGAGAGAAAGACCAATAACTAACCTCTCCCCATTCTGTTCTCCAACGAACGCTACCTAAGCAGCCTGGATACCCTGCAGTTTGCTGCTTCTGTTTTTGGAGGGCAGCCACATGAAACTGTGTTCGCTAGCAAAAAAAAAAAAAAAAAGTATAAATTTGGCTGATTACTCAGAGGGACTACCACAATTTAAATCAAAGCAAATTTAAGAACTTTAAAAACCCCTCCTTGCTCTGACCATGCTATAGATCTGTAATTGTGTTAACGGAAGCTTTGCTATATTTTCCATCTCCCAGGCACTTTGATTTTTGTGTCTCTTCATCTTTGTGAAGAAGCTGAATGTATGATGGGTAATTTTTACCTAATATCACTATCCAGAGTTCCTACACAGTTTGTGTACAGAAAGAGTCAAACCCTCCTTGTCTTACTCATAAGAATTTTTCTTAGGGAAATGCATCCTGTGAATCAAGTGAGTAGGATTTAAAATTGGAGGAGTGCAATAAAGATATCAATAGATGCAGCAGGTTGATTCATCTGACACTTTATTATAATAGATCATTTGATCTTACCACCCTGCTGGGTGAACTTAAGCTCATACTGCTTTATGGATTTTTTGTTGTTTAGGTTAGAGAATAAAAAGCTATAATACTTGCAGTTTCTCAGATGTAGACTCTGATTGATCCATTAAATCTCCAATTTTTCATTAATTAAATAAAAGGAGAAAATTAAATAATAGCAAGCAACCCTTTGCAGGGGTGGAGAATGAGTAGGAGGTATATTATACATGACAGCCAGAGTTAAAGAAGTGTATGTGTCAATGACATGCATGCAGGTGGCTCTCTGTGCTAAAAACCGTTCCTATTGCCTTCTCCAGCCTGGGTGAGCACTACGCGGCCCCTCCTCCGTGGCTGGTGGTTTCAGTCTTCTTTAATACATCAATACTGCTCTCTGATGTTTCTCCAAGTTCTTTCCTAGGCTCCCCCACTCATTTCAGTAGCTCTCCAGCTCTCTGTGGCACTCCTCCCACACCCTGATCTTTTGATATGGCTGATTGGAAATTTCTCTTCAAAATGTGCTTTTTTCTTTTTCTGCGGCAAGAGAGGCAATTTTCACCAAAATGGCATTTTTTAAAAAAATGGAAAATGGTCTCAAAACTAAATATATTCTTTTGCATTGAGGTTAGCCAGATGAATTATTTTGGTTGAGCATACCAAACAGAAATGTTCTGGTTTGGACCAATTTCACATTAATTTGTCTTCCCCTGAGCTCCCACGTAGAAGCTGTGGCTTGGGTGCCTTCAGCTTGCAAGCTCTGCTATTCCCTATGGCTGCAGCACCAGCTGCATTGCACATACCAGCCTCTGCTCTGGTGTACAAAAAGCGTCATCCAGCCCCTATATAAGCCCCTGAAAGTGACATTTCAAAAAGTTGGGAAGAAATAATCTAATTGTAGTGAGAGAATCAGCATGTCTTCTAGTCTCAGCCCAGAATGAAACAACTGCCTTCACACTTGCATTGCTTTAAAAGTTATTAGAGTGGAGCATATGGCTTCCCTTGGCCCTGAGCAATTGCATATAGAAGAAATCTGTTCAGAGGGAACAAAATCATTTTTTCTTAAAGTCTTTCACATATACAGAAGATAAGGGAGCAAGGGTGGTCTAAAGGTGCACCCATTTGGGATAGGCTGCCTAACTCAGAGTGAGTAATGGGATTTCCTACATATTTAAACTGCAAGAAAGAAGTGAGGAGCTGGTGCTGTGAAGAAGCAGGAAAGGTATAAACGTGAAAATCCTAGTGCGGGAGAAAGTGATTTTGAAACGGCAGTTTTATGGGAACTCAGAGTACTGGCTACGCCAAGCACCTAGACTGACTCCCCCTGGACAGACGGGCCCTTTCTTTGTCAGCCAGGAAATTATAGTCCTGGCATCTTGGGTAGTCCCCAAGCTCAAGGAGGTTTATTGGTTTCACAACAAAGTGAGTAAGGTGATGACTTTCACAAACAGACCTAAGGAAGGTTGTAAAACTTTCTCGGCAAATTTTGCATGGAAAATATAATTGTACAAACAATGTAATAGGCAATTCAATACATGTGATCCATAGCCAGATATGTATTACAATTTCATTTTAACCTGGAGAATTTACCTGTACAAGAGTATCTTTAACTAAAAACATTGTAATTTACTGCTTTATTGCAGTGTACCAATGGTAAGGTTTCCATACAATGCGTGTGTCAGCCAAAAGACACAAAACCTGTCAGGATAATCAAGTAACCACAGCTCACAATATATGCATTATGGGGCAGAGGCTTATAGAAATAATGCAAGGAATCCTCTCTAAATCAATGTCCTTGAATGAAAAATGAAAATATACCAACTTCCTTAAAATGCATATTATTATAATATCTTTTTACATGCTTCCAAGCATTTTGGTGTGTACTGAGCATATATTACTGCACTTTATATCCAATCCTCTTCTCTATGAGGAAAAATCACAGTACACATGCTTGCTTATCTCCCACAAACATAATTCAGAGGTTGTAAAAAGAGTCTTGTATTCCTTGGGGAATGTTAAACATCAATAATAATTGGGATATAGAAACAAAGTCAGTGTCCTTATTGGATTCACACACATGTAGGTGAAAGTAAGTAATGAGAGAAGTGAAGGCTCAAGAGACCTTAAGAAAACCTGAATAATTGGTTCTTCAAAACATAGGGAAGTTAAACCAGCTAGAAGCATAGTAAATGATCACTCATATGACCGGGCATCTATGTTCGCCACAGCGTTGCTTAGTGGATAAATACACCAAAACACACCCAGAAAAACAATAAAACCAGACTGGAGTCGGGAAGGATTAAAATCTTTTTGACCTTGTATGTAACCATGTTGTACTTTTAATAATATGTCGTTTAATTGGTATTATGCATTAACTTGCCCTCCAGATCTATTAACAATTGTAAAAATTATAGCTGTTTTCTCCTTCGTGTCCTTTGCTTTGCAGCCAGAGAATTTATCTTGATGACCTCCTCTGGCAGTCATTGCTACACAATGACCACATACAGCATATATAAAGATTGCTATTATCTTTTGTAATTTACATCCTCCTGTAATGACATTGAGTATCCTAACTGGATGTTTTGGAGTTCAGCCATCACTCATTGTAACTTCATAGCTAGATGACATGGACACAGCGTACCCTGCATGAATAAGGAGGTGGCCCTCATTTCAGGACAATGCACAACAAGTGAAGAGGAGATTCAAAATTATTTGTATCTTTTTAACTGTCTGTATAAGAAAATAGAGTGTATGTTTTCAAGACTTACCTGAGGTTCCGGGAGAAGTAGTCTTTTTTTGTAGACAGGTTGTAGAAGAAAAAGACCATGCCTTGGTAGATAAAGCATCCAAACTCTCATTGTGTGCCAATTGTGTTCCACTTGCTTGTGTAGCTGGGAATGAGACAGATGTTCAGGTAAGATATACATGTATAAGCATTGTCTTCGATCCTGGACCATCCCTCAGACAAGCGCTCCCACCATCACAGAAGAGACTTAAGGTCAGAAAGCACTACAACTTCTGGCCACTGCTTGTCAAGTGATGAACCATCCCAATGAAGTTATTAGTACTGGCACATTTGAGGCATCTTTAAAACACATCTGAGCATCAGAAGCAGCCTCACTTCTGTGCCAGAAGATAGCCTAGAGCTCTGAATTGTGAGCCAGAATATGTAGACAGTCTTGCACCAAGAGCAACATGAGCACAAGAGAGAATCTCACTTACTGCCCTCTATCTTTAATCTTCATTTAAAAAAAAAAATTTAAAAAAGGAAGCTTCGACCACAACTGTCACATAATGTGATACTGTAAAAAGTTTTAGGGATTTTAATTAAGTGCAGAGTTAATTATTTCATTCCGTGCTCTAAAGGCCTAGGAAAGAGTATATCCCTGAAAATTAATGTATGAAAAACTAGTGTCTTATTTCTGCTCTTCCACAGTCAATAGATGATCAAGGCCATCTGTGTCACAAGATTTGCAGCCTAAGGTAAGTCCAAGATGATGGTGCAGGGCACTGACTGAGCCCGTGGAACCGAAGGTCACTGAATAACAACAAGAAAGAATTTAAACTGTTCTAGCACAGCTGATAATTCCTACCTCTATGCTCAAACCTCAGCATAACAGGCAAGAGAGTGCCTACTGAATAAAACATAGGGGTGCCCAAAAGTAACCTTATACTTCCTTTCTGATACAAATCAGAGATGCGACTGAGCTGTAAGCTGTTTTCAGTGCCTCTTCATATGAATTTCAAACACTAGAACGAAAACAACTCTAAGACATGTTTTAGTCGAGTAAGTGTAACATCACGCACACGCAATGAATCTTGAGGAATGCTTCATCACACACTTTATCCAGAAACTCTGATTATCACTTTGGCCCCTCAAAGAATCCTTTTCACAGGAAAAAAAAAAAAAATCCAACAGCCAAAGCTCCTTATTCTACTATCACACACCTTTAACTTGGCCCTTGCCTGTCCCTCTTGTTTATTAAGCGCAATACTTGGAGAGGCGAGCTTCAAAAATCAATGAGCTAAGAAAGAGTGAGCTGAAGCCACTGGAGTCAGGGAATTTACACAACTTTGGGAACTGAGAGGAGCTGGACAGACAGGGATGATATCTTTGAAGGTCGAGGCATGGAAGGAGACCATACTGAGAATTATGCCGACCAAACTTAAAAGCCTAAAACTTTCACTGGGATTCTAGTGATGAGAAACATACTTTCACTGTCAATTCCAGAAAGCTCAGCACTGTACCCCTGCAATATGCAAGCCTAATCTGCAGTAGAGATGAGTGTAAAAAGCCCCTCTACCTAATTTTTTACTACGCTATAATGCAAGGATCTGAGAACTTGAATAATTCCTGCATTCTCATCATAGAACCCTTGAATGAATCTTTAAAAGCAACCTTTTTCCGCTTTCAGTTCTTACTGTTGTTGCTTCAGACTCAGATTTTAAACGTTGAATTTTAATCTGAGATCAGATAAAAAAAAAAGCAAACCCACCAAAGAACCTCCATCTCCCTTTAAGGTGCACAGGCTTGTAACAGTAACAGCAACCATCTCGTAGCTCCCTTATCATAAGTTAGTAAAAGCTTGCACAGGAGAATGAAAAGTAAGGCAGAATAACAGTAAACCTTCATGTGCAGAGACATTTGAACACAAACACGCTTTGTGAACACTGCAAAACAATCAGGTGTGTGGGAGAGACAAGGAAGGAGGCAGCCAGTTGCCTTATAACCCCACAGAGAGCTGTTTTCCCATGGGGATCACACGTTCCAGGCGTCCTATCAGTCCTGGCAGCAGCCCAGCCCCGGGTGCTGCTCTTGTGTTTGGGAGCTGCAAGAACAGATTGTTCTCAGGAACATGGGCTGCGAGCTGGATATGCCTTGGTGGGTATTGGGAGGGGAGGGATGATAGCATTTCCATTTAATTTTTTTATTTCAGCCTGGGTGAGATTCTTCCTGCGACTCCAATAGCACCAGGTATGACTCGCACCTTTAGCTAAGGCTTGGTGTGAAGCTTCTTGCATTTATTTCAGCAGACTGCAGAACAGGCTCCCTGCTCCCAGTGTCAAGGGGCAAAATAGATACACTACAGTGCAAAAGCCTGTGTGCCAGATTTCACCACTTCCAAGATGAAAAACACAACCTGGCAGGAAAGTTTCCCTTAATTCCACTGTACTATTGTAGGATTAAATCCTAGCAACCCAATTATCTGCTGACTCGTGGCTTTGGAGCGGCTTTTAAGCATCCAGGCCTTATGCCTAATACACAGCATAGGCTCTACCATCAACACATTTAGCAGATTGAATAGATTCCATGCCAAAAGCCCATGGGAACAGAAGCATCCACATCCAGCCACTGCTCGCGTACACGGCACTGACAGCACAGTACGCCTGCTAGAAATCTGCCTTTCTGGTAAATCCCATAACTCATATCTATGCAAGGTTTAATTTGATCTCAACAGGAGGAGACAGCGCAAGTCCTTACTGCGGTGCCCGTGCTCTGCGCGGGAGCAGGCGGGGGACTCTGTGCGGGCACATGGTGACTCAGTTCTGCTGTCCCCACTGACACATCGCTGCAGTAATTCATCACGCTTCAGCTCAGCCAGCTGCAGCAAAGATTTCTGCCTGCCTGGCAGGGGGAGGCCTGGGCTCGCAGAAAAGCAGCACAGCAAAGGTGGCTGCTGCTGCTGCAAAAGCGCTCACATCATCCGTTAATGGCTTTGTTGTCAACGGCTGATTATGAATAAAAAAGGTAAAGCAGTAAAGATTGTAGAATAGCTGTCCGAACGGGGATGATTGCTGCAGCGGCAGAACTCCCTGGTGGTGATGCAAAAATTTTGATAAGATAAACGACACTGTGTTAACACATATTTGTCAAAGGGATAATCAACAACAGGGAACCTAAAGCTACTCTGCAAAGCTGCTGTCTGAGCCTCAGGTATTTCCTTGCTCTTTGTGCTCTGAAAACATTTCATTTTCTCTAACCAGCTGAAATTCCACACTTATCCTCACTTGATCTTAGCATGATTTTCTACTTAACCTATGTATAATCCACATACGTTTTGTCATTTCCCAACAGTACTTTACATTTTCTTTTTTACAGCTGGCTGTTACCTAACTAGCTTTGACACCATAAGATGCTTCAAGTAAGTGGCAAATACTCTGGATATACTCTATGCGCTGCAAAGAATACAGACATCTGCACATGTGTTAAAACCTTACTTGGCCAATCAATGAATCAAGGAAACACCTTTACAGGGCACAAGGAACTGCACCCAAACCATGTTAAAACACCAACACAGGGGCTTTGTTAGATGGGAGGCTAAACCTCACTTGAGCTCATATCTTTAGCATAAAACACATATAGGCCTTGTCCCTGTAATCAATAGCCTGAGAAACCATTTGCATTAATGAATACATTCATTAAAGCTTTGAAAAATCCCAGTGTAGCAAAACCAATGCAACTTCATGTCCTTTCAGAGGAATGGAAATTGGCTAGGGAGGTAACCAAGCAGATCTCAGTTTTAATGTTTACATCCGTAGCTGATTGCATCTGCTGTCTGCCAGCTTTACACTTTCTGGTAAGCTAAAAACCCCAAATATATAAAAATACACGGTTTAAAACATTTCTCTGCCTGACATGTCTCAGCAGCCAACTGTACTCCATGTTTACCTATAGCAGTTGGTAATGACCTGAAGACAATTGAGCAATACGTGTTACCACAACCCTCCTCTGGTAGTTTTACTGAAGTAAAGCTTCCTTCTTAACTACCAGTAGTTTGATAAAAAGAGAAAAAGTTATCTTCTCCACTCTTTCCTTTTCTCACTTTTTAGTATTTAATATTTCATTACACCATGGTGTATCACTGTCTAGGAGCGTGGCACGAGATACAATAGAAACACAACAGCCAAAAATCCACTCTTATGTTTTACTACCTTGAGAACTGACCTTGCATAAGACGCTTGCTTGATATCCAAGGGAGGAAGAACATAATCTTTTGTTGCATTTCGTTTTGTATTCTCTTTGGTAACGTCAAGAGTCCCAGGATATGAACTCCTGATTGCAGATGCAACTTGACGTAGTGTGGCACCATATAAATTCTTGGTTTGGGGCTTGGACTGCACAAGTGATGTCACTCTGACTAAATGTGAACTATTGGATTTGACCCCTTATATTAATAAATAGGAGGGTTAAAGAGACAAGTCTAAATGCTGGCTTCCGATATAATAAACAGAGCAGGAGGGCAAAGAGTGAGAGATTGTACTTATGACCTGCAGAGGAAAAGAATTTTGAGGACCAAAAAAAAAAAAACCAAGAAGTTGTTTGCATGATTTCACAGTGTATGGAGCTGGAGCACCGGGGGCTTTTCCTGAATCTATAACAAAAGGTAACAGCAGCCACAGAAATTCCAGCGGAGACAGGAAGCCCTGTCAAATCTCTGCTGTGTGAACATGATCATTCGCTGAAGCTTTTAGCAGGGATTGAAGCAGAGAAAGCAATGGCCTCCATTACAAAACAACAGAGGCACCTACTTTTTATTAAAAAACAGGTGTAGTAAAGGTAAATTTTTAAGTGTCATAAAGGCACCACTAATTTCTGCCTCAGGCACATATGACCAGTCCAAAAAGGGGGAAAAGTGAGTGGTAGTGAAAAAGAAAAAGAGAGTAGAAAACTTCCATCTCCTGTCCATTTTGAGAGTGGAAGTCTTGCTACGCTTGTGCTCGCTTCAGGAAGCGCAACTCTCCCAGCCCTGTGCTGCTGCTGGGGATGCCAGCAGCAGCTGGGAGGATGCAGTGAAGCCAACAGCACTTTGCCGTGCCAACGCGTGGTGTGGAAATGGAGAAAAGGCTGTAGCCAGCAGCCAGATGGTGGTCGAGGGGTCTGTGGGTTTTCTGCAAGGGCTGGCCGCATATTTGCAGAGCTCCTGCCCTATCTCAAAGCCACTACCTGGTGCCTTTTCCACTCCTCTGTGCTACAGCCAAGGCTACGACTTTCTTGAAAGGTAGACCAGAATTTTGTCCTAAAATTGGTTTTCACATACGTGTTTTTTCCGAATACTACTTAGCGCTGAAAGAAAATACAGTCTTTTAATGCATGGCAGTTCCCAGTGTCGTCTTTGATTTTCCTTTTTACAAAGGGGAATGAGAGGCAGGTAAGCCCTGTTTTCATGTTCATTTATCAACCATTTTTAATCACAATTTTGGGGTGTGTTTTTAGCTTAAACGGGAGGTTTTGAAAACAAAGCACAACCCAAGCAACTAGGGACTGAACTCTAACTGCTGGGAAGAGAACATGAGAGGAAGAGAAAGGAAGGGAGTTGGTGAAAACTTCACGCTCATGCCCACTGTACCTCCAGAACCATCATACACCCAGCACCAGTTTTTCAGGGCATCAGTGCAAAGCGGTGGTCAGAGCCAAGCTGCACTGGCAGGCATGCCTTTCCTCATTAGCTTTCCTTCCCCTGCCGGGAGCTCTACCTGTCACTGAGGTTTAGTTCCAGGTGGCTGTGGCGCTCTGGTACCCACAAGCCAGGAACCTCCGCCAAATTGAAAGGACTAGGAATCGCAGCCATAATGCAATGTGCCATGCCATGGGCTTTTGACAGGCCCACGGGGTCACAAATGTAAGTTAAAAAGATTCTTTGTGGCCTTCGGTATTACTTCAGCAGCTTGCGCATCAGCCAGACTGTATTCTGTGACTCACCGATACTGGCATTTAAAAGCTGAGCCAAAAACCAAAAGACTTCAGGCTGACAAATCAGACTACTCGCTACACCAAGCACAGCGGGAAAGCTGCATCAGTAGAAGATGTAACCACTAAATGAAAGGGTGATTGCTCTCCAGGCAGCTTAGCAGGCTCAAGTCCATGAGGGGTGGCTTTAAAGGAGAATTTGCACAAAGAAAACATGCGGGCTGTTATGTAGGAGCCTCTTTTCAAGCAAGGAAACCAAGGGAAGAGAGATCAAGTTCTAATAATTTGTCACAGTTCAGTATGCTCTAAATATCAATTCCGAGAATATTAGTGTACCCCTGACTACTGAGTTAAATATCTGGAGTATTTATTTTTAATTTTTTGAGTCAATTAAATATCAAAAATTGAGTATTTCAAAGCTCCACTTCAGCAAAAGACTTGAGCAAATATTTACAGTATAGTTCACAGGCAAAAAATGGAGTCTGAATTTCATCTTAAGTTTACTGAGCTCCTTTTGGATGTTATTATACTTGTTTAATTTAATCCGACTTCTTGCCGGATACATGGGAATTTTTTTTTTTAAATTTTCCTTTTCTAGAATCCAAGCCAGTGTGCTGGGCCTACACATATTTTATTCTGAAGATTTGTGGGGAACAAAAGTATTTCCTAAGGTTGATGTAGGGTAGTCAGTACCACCTCTCTGCTTTCAGTACTGTGACTCATAATAATATAGAGCACAATTAACCTAGCATTTAACATACATAAAAATAAAAAACAAAGGGGGCTGTTCTGACACCAATCTGATCACATCAAATAATTTATTTTTGATTAAATACTTATAAAAAAATAACAAACAAAACATGGAAGAACATAAAAATTTAAAAACCTTCCAAATACATCTCTCCCAATTACAGGGAGATTAAAATCCTGTGTAGTGGCTTCAGATCACCTCTGCTACCAATTAAAGGTATATAATATTCTTTGCGTAAGATTCTAGGGCAGGATTCATTAAAGATATGTAATACAATAGGATGAACAGTTCTGCTTCCCCAAACCTCCAAAATCATAACCCAAAATACTCTTTTTGACCTTCTTTTATTGCTTCATACTCTTTTACAGAAATGGAGCATTCAATGAATCAGAAATGGCTCAATGAAATTGTCACTTACTGTTTGTTGTGCTGTCAGTTTTATTTGTTGCTGGAGTGGTCGCTTTTACTGGTGGTTGCATTGCTGTACCTTGTGTTGTTTGTTCTGTAGCACTAGGTGAAGACGTGGAGTCTAATAAAGGAACGACATTTAAATTATTTCCTCAATTTTGTATACACACACATGCACACACACAAAACATACCTATTGCCCTGCTTGCCATTTGGTTTTAAATTATCAAAAGAATATTTCATTCAAATTGAACGTCAACAGTGACAGGGCTCCCTTCACTGCAGAAAGAGCCACTCACTGTCATCCCACTGAAGACAAGCCTGTGATAATGCAGTTACAAGGCCTTGCTTGGAGCTGCCTTGAGCCTGACCAGGAGGAAGCTCCTGTGCACACCTCCAAGGTTTCACCAAAGAGTTCACTATCTGTAAAACAAATTCCCAAGCGAAGGGGCACTGATGTTTAATTTCCTGAATGAACACTGGAACAGCATCAACAATTAGCTCAAAGAAATTTTCACTTACTGCTTGTGATGGATTCATTTGTAGCTCTGATTGCAGTTGCTGCCATCAGTGGCACTTGCGCTGTTGTTGCTTGTGAAGCTGATCCATTCACAGCTTCTGTTACTACAAGAAAGGCATTCACATCTTTATTGATTTATTATATCATGCATAAATAAACATCACATACCTCTAGCTACCTTCTTTCACAAAGGCAGTGAATTTCTGTTTAAAGTCTGGTCCTTACAGAGCTTTCTTACACACACCTTTTTAAAGAGGATTCAAAGTGCATATGGTTGGTACCAGAGGGAAGGTTTTGCCTGTGGACAACCTGCAAGTTGCGCACTGAAAGTCGGCAGCTGTACCTTCCAGCTGTCCCCCAAGGAAGAGGTGTATGCTCTTTGGGAATGCTTGGCAGGACTTCCAAGGGAAGAGGTGAGGGGAAAGGGGCCCGGCATGGATGAATGAGTTCGCTGTGCTGCTGGATTAAACTGCTGCCCAGCACTTTGCTGCATACCTGTTTAGTGGGAAGAGGGATGTAAACTCCCCAGAAAGAAGTATGTGACACACAGGAACACAGCTTATATATTACAGGAAAAGAAGCAAAGGAGAAGGAACTCTACTAGTCTTTGTGCAATTTTTTTTCCTCTTTTTTCCTGCTGTTCTCCTCGAGCTTCAGTTGAGTCTTCTTCTCTGGTTAGCTTTCTCAGACCATTTTCCTCTGCACCCATATTTCTGGGGAAAAAAGAGCATCCAGCAGGCCTTCCTCTGGGGTGTGCAGCAAAGCTTAGGGCATAGTGGAAGAGATTAATGTATTCTCTAGCAAGTGATATTCCCCGGGGTGAACTTGTTGCTCTTTGTAAGGCGACTCTTGGTAGTTCTCTCCTCCAGAGGGATGAGATTTGGAGGCTAAGGGGAAGGGAAAGGGCTCCCTCAGGCTGCAGGGATCACTTCCAGCTGCTGCTGGTATGGAAAGAGAGGAGCAGAGTTGCCCAAATATCACTAAGGGAATAGCAAGGTTTAAACCAGTGTGCCTTGCTGCACATGGATTGTATACTGCAGGTCCTATATGCCCCTGGCACATACTCAAGGGAACAGACCGGCCAAACTGCTGCTGAGGCACCCTGGCTAAAAAAGCCAAAACTAATAATTTTAAAGAGCCCAGCTTTCAGTTCTGTGATCTATTACAAACAGAAAGTGCTACTGTCAGCTACAGAGGCTGATACCCTAATGTGTCCTGCTACCTCTTCCAGCACTTTTCACGGATGAGATACATGAAAGAATAGGAATAAATCATGACATGACATGCCATTTTCTCTCATATGACTGGAATACTTGTAAATGCAATGTTCACACCAGAACTTTAAAAATGTAACTTATACTCTTTTCCTCTACTCCCAGTTCGCTGGCTGTTCACCTAGAATAGCAGTGCCTCAAAGAATGGAACTCCTTGGGAGCTTGCTCCACACCCACAAAATGCTTTAATCTCATAGTGGGCTTCTGAAACTTTTCTCCTAGGCATAGATAACAATACTGCTTTCCCTTCTGTGACAAAAAGCTGCAAGAAAAATTTCGGTGAAACATTTGAAGAGCTCATTCAACTGTGAGCTGTTGGGCCTTCATGAAATTGTCTTTGAAATGAACATGAACATCAGGCGTTTTGAAACATAAAAGAACTGCAACACAATTTGAACAGGACTAATTCTTGTAATAAACACATGCATAATTTACCTGGCTGCATCTTATTCCCCTCCATTACTAGCACTTCAAGTGTATACATCATAATCATCTCAGTGCTTTCAGCTTCAAAACAGACTCATAAGCATCTCTATTATCAAAAAACAGAATCCAGTGTCCAAGTTTTCTTCTCTCACATGCATCACTTATCAAATGCAGCAGTCTTCAATATTCAAACTTAAGACTTTAAGTTTGATCTAGTTAAAACAATTACAAACAAAAGAGAGAGAGAATGCGGCTTTTGAAACTGAGGGCACTGGTGCCACACCCTTACCCCTGAAAGTGAATCTTGACATCAGTAGTTTCAAGAAGTTATCAGTAGCACTTATGCACATGTACTCTCTCTTATTAACCGAGGCCCATCTTTGGCATATACTGTGCAATTCTTTACTATCAAAGTCTATGTCCTCTTCTGTCACTCTACACCCATCAGATCAGCTACTCCCTGCTGCTAAATCCCTTAGTTGATGCTGTTTCCCATACTATTCTCAATCTGACAACCTCTTGAACTATGAGTCTTAGCTAATTTGTTAATCTCATCACACTTGAACCACTCCTGAAGAGCATAGAAACTAACAAAATTTCAGTCTTTTTCACCAGAAACAAAAAATGCTAAAATTAACCCTCTCCTTACTAAGATCCCTTAAACCTTTCTTCTTAACAGAGTTTTGTAAGAGACTCGGGGAAATACATTGCTCTACAATCACCTTACATGAAATAATTTGCCTAATTTCTCCAAGAAGTTGGAAAAGCTGAAAGATGAAAACGCAATGGGAACTTCAGAATACTAGATAACAGTGAATTTGAATACTTACCAGATTTTGAAGTTGATACAGGAACAATTGCTTTGACAGTACTGGCTGAAATACCACCTTCTGAAATAAACACAAAAAGAATCACATTATTTCAGCCACCTTCCAGATTTATTTAGCACTACACAGGCACGTAAGGCAGAGAGCAGCAAGGACCTGCAAGGAAAATCAGGGTCAGAAGCCTATTAGCAAAAGCAACCAAATCGTATAACTCTGCTAGCAATTCTTTCAAGCTGTAGCCTAAATCTCATGGCTTTGCCCTCACGTTGTAAAGGGCAGCATCTGCTATGGTCTCCCACCTTGGACTGCAGGTTGTTTTCCAACAGGTATTAGTATCTCTAAGACTAGTTTGGAAGAAAAACCTGGAGCAATTAAGGGGTTTTTGCTAGCTGCTCCTCTCCTTTAGTACAACACAGCTGCTCTGGGTCTTCAGGGTAGAGGATTAACTAAAATAACTGGCTGCAGGAGTAAGCACTTGTTCTCCTGCCTTAGAGAAACAAAATTGTACTAGCTCCCTGACTAGTACAAGCACTTCAGAGGGGTTTTCAGCATCACCCTGATGCCTGTATGTGAGGGGAAGAGGAGAATTCACACAGCATGGCTCGGAAAGGACCAGATTGAGTAATGACTGACTTTCCCCATTGCCCTCAAGACAGCGTTCCAGCTGTTGGGTGTTTACTGCAGTAAACAATGACTTAAAAATCCTAGGTCAAGTTAGCAGGTGAAAGTCTCCACTATTATAAAACAAACAAACAGTCCAAAACCCACTCCCCAAACCAAAAGCAAAAAAATTTCTGTATCTTCTGGCTGTGCTGAAAAGTTGTAACAGCATAACTCAACTAGAGTTTTGGCTTTATTTAAAGCCAAATATTTATTTAAAAACCTTATTTAAGGTTTTCAGTCTTATTGATGGGGTGTTCAATATTTTTCTAGTAAAAGAAGTTGGAAGGGTGATGAGGGGGCGTGAAACAAACTTCACTGAGTCAGAAACGGTGGCATTTTTCAACCATTTTACACTGCTGTGAGACAACGATGGGTATATTTGGGGAGGAAGAGATCAGCTCTATGAGTGAATGGGAGAGCAAAATGGCACAGAATAATCCCCAGTGCTTTCAGGTTTGGAGCATGACATCCTGTCATTCTGCATTAGCATGTTGTAATACAGACATTGCAAAACTGAGTCAGGACAGCATGTCACTATTTTTGTGTGACTGCATTCACTGTAATATCTGCTGGCACTCTCTTGGTTTTGGACTAGCGGGCAGAACAGTCAGCTTTGTTCCTTTTGCTCAGTGTGCTGTGCTCCAATTAAAATTTCACAAGCACCACCCAAGGCTTGCCAGAGTCACAGATCTAATCTGGAAAAAAGATAATGTAAAACATAATTGCAGGAGCTTTGTGGACACATATTAAGGTCTAGTCAGATGAGACCTTACAACTCCTCTTCAAGCAGTGTAAGGTGTTATCAGCCCCCTTGGCACCTGCACGTTTCTAATGGGTCTCAACTGGGATGTTGCCCCTTCCCAGTGAGCCTCACTTTCTTGGGTATCTTTTCTAGGTGTACTGCTGCCTTTGTAATGCCTTGTCACAGCGTGTACTAGCCCAGTTTGATACGGGCACACCCCATATCAAATTAAGTCTGTTCGCTATGGGCCTGCTGCTGCCCCAGCCCTACTCTTCAGAACACCTGAATACAGTCAGGCTATGCACAGCCCCTTGCACACTGCATTTCAAATACTGTTTTTCCTGCCATTTGGTTACCCAGCCAGAATAATGTTTCACAACCTACACCTGAAATTCTTTGAAAACAAATTTTATCCAAATAGACCAAAAAGCAATCTCGTTTCCCAAAACAATGAGCAGTTTTCCATCTCTTCATTCTCATTATGAGCTGCTGACAAAGCTCCTGTAATTCCCCACTCCACAAGGCCACAGCACTAAACCAGAATGTTTTTTCAACAGTGCCTACGTGTCATATGGTTTGTTGTAACATCTCTCAGTAACTACCATGTCTGTAACACCAGCTAAATGCACTAGCTGGCCAATTAGCTCATTCCCTAACTAACTCTTCCCCTAATTCAGCATGACTTTGTGGAAAGCCCATTGCAATACTTAGAGTATTCATTCTTTAAAGGTGTTCCATTTAATAACCATGTTGATAGGCTGAGATTTCCTCAAAACTAAAAAATTTGATAATTTAGATCACAGTTTTCTTATAATTCACAATTTGCTGATTTTATCACAGGCTAGAGATAAACTAAGGTAAATTTGTTTAGCAGAGTAGAATAAACTACTTTTTTTTTTTTACAAAGTTTTATGAACTGTTTTCTTAAAATAGTGGATAATTAAGTATACTTTAAAAACAAGTTGAAAGCAACATGCAAAGCTGCTTAAAACTCGCCAGGATTTTGAGGGGAACTGGTTGATTAAGAGAAGTGATAGAACTGGTGGCTGATTATGCTCTTATTTGCAATGTTAAGTTGTGTCTAAGGAGAATCCTATGGGGATCAAAGCAAGAGATCAAAAATTATTGAAAAAAAAGAGCTTTGGCCCATTAGAGACTGTTGCTAGACAGAGAGAGAGACAAAAAGATTAATTTTTCTGCTCGTGTCAGGTTGGTTGCAGCCTCAGATGACAGACAACCAAGTTACAATGGAATGGTTTTAGGGAAATTTAGATGCAGTGATCCCTTTGATACAAGAGCACCTCAATGTATTCTGGTGAGGGAGTTCAAAATCTACTCAGCAATTGCACCCCTCCACAAACCTCTCCCATTTGCCATGCTTCCTGGCAATAAAGTTAGCCAAAAGAGCATAGGTGACCTGTGATCTAGCACCCTTGTGTCTGGAGATCACACATGGAGCTAAAAGATGCTCACATGTGACACTGGGCTAAATAAAGGGAGGAAGGTGGTGGTGGTAAGATCCAAAAAGAAAAAAAAAAAAGTCTAAAAGTAGATTAAAAGGTGAGAAGAAATCAGATCTAGGAGAAAGATAACAGGACAGGAAGAAGATGAGAAGGGAAGGGCAGGAAGGCCCTGATACAGTAAGACAATAAGGGTGGCAGGTAAAAATAAGAAGGAATTAAGAAGAGATTGAAAAACATTTGATCCAAGGCCACAGGGCCAAAACAAAAAAAGAGTAACTGTTGAGTTTGTTGTTTTTTTTTTTTTCAGGTCCACAGAATTTCACTTTATTTTCTTTTCTGGCTTGGATTTAAATGGTACATTTGTTCTAAAATTGAAGCAACAGTACAATCATTTCTATCTGGTCTTCAGACATGATTTCTAAATGAATGAACTGAAACACTGAACTTACTTTTTTTTTTTTTGAATTCAGAAGCAGTTACTGAGATCAGCCAGGGCTGACCAACGGCCCCAATTGTTCTCAAACTGCAGCTTTTCATGTAGGCTTCAGTCTCCAAGGTCTGAGCCTGGAACTGTCATCATATCTCCCCCCCCCTCATTATTTTTACCTTTACTCTGGGAAGACTAAGATAAGCAGGTCTTGACCTTCTGTTAATTAGGTGCCTTATTGCTATAATCAAGTCAGAAAAAAAGCAGAAATGACCACACAATACTAAATCAGTAGTTCTGTTCATGCACTACAGGATACTACAGGGCACAAACCACTAAGGTTAAAATACCACATGAAACAGCTAATACAAAACTGAATGCCAAAAAGTCAAAACAAAAACATTTTTAAAGATGAATAGATTGTTCAAAATATATATTTATTATATTCTTTACATGAATTACCGAATTTAAATGCTGTCCAGTTTGGCATCAATATCTGATTTTGAAAACAAATTATTCCTATGGAAAAGTCACTATCATTACAGAAACAGTGAATGAAATGGCTTGTTTGACATTTTTTCACTTGACCTTGCACTAGGTAGACAGGAGCACATGTTCATATTAAAACCCCTCCATTAGTATGAACACTGGTTAGGCCACAGCTGAAGTACTTGGCCCAGCTTCAGAAGGGTGTTGAGAAGGGTGTGAATACCTGGAAGGGGTGGTTAATGAAGAACCCTGAAAATCACTAGGAGTCTAGAAAAAAATGGCTTCTCACGAAGGATCGCAAAAATTGCATTTGTTTAGCCCAGAGAGGGAAAGATTAATGGAAGGCACGATAACAGCACTCAGGCAGGTAAGGGACTGCAATAAAGGAATAAACTTCTCATTACGTCCACTGAGGATGAAACTAAACATAATGGACAAGTGAAATTTGGACTAGAAACTTGGCAGGTTTTTCAGTGCCTGTGTCAAGCCAATGGTGATACAGCCAGAATAATTTTCCTGATGAGGATGTAAGATATTCCCACTCAAAAGCAGACCAATACCCAAAAGGCTGTAGCTGGGACTAATTAACAAAGAGGGGTCTGAGGAAACCTGTATATGTTAATTCCCTGCTTCAAGGCTATAAAGCACAATCTACAGGTGGTGGTATTATAATATATTTGTTTATCATATATTATGTTATATTATTGTTGTTTGTGTGACCCTGGGCCTTTGCAATTATACACAAGGCATGGAGAAGTCAAAGTTGCTTTCTTGCTTTCTGTCTTTCCACACCATCAGAAATAAATAGCGATTTTTTTCCAGGAAGAACATGGTAATTCTGCCAGCCCCCATGACCATGATAAAGCCTCCTGTGACAGCTGCTCCAGCAGTATCCTTGGAAAGCCTTTACACTTCATCTGATGTTTTGTCCTTTCTGGAGAAAGTTATAGCAGTCCTTGTGAGAAAAGCTGGTACTGATATCCTCAGTGTTCCAAATAAATAGCTGCTGCCTGACAATGTACACAACCTGTTTACTCTTACCTTGGAGCTTTGTCGTCTATTGTGTTTTCTCTTTCATTTTCATTTATTGCTGCTTCACCTCTTCATTTTCTTATCTGATATTTCCCCAGGCCTAGTGTAGCTCTTACACTTTTCTTATTTCTGTTTTCACTCCTCACTCATCTTTCTTTCCCAGTTCATGACCTTCTACCCTAAACCTTGAGATAAATTTCTTTTTTGTTTTGTAATGCATTTTTGTGTAAAGGTTCACACATACTTC